TGCGTTGAGGCAGCAGCAGCAGCAGCAACTGAAACAGTGGCTGCCCCTTTGGAGCAGCTTTCGCCTGGTCAGTGGGCAACTTCAACCTTTTGGCTTTACGCTAATCGCCATCGTATTCCCAGTTCCATTCGCTCTCTTCCTTGCTCCAACAATAATTTTATCAATTTTGCTTTATAATTGTGCGCAGCTGAAACGCCAGAGTCGCAAAAAGTGTGACCAGACGTCTATAAGAATACTTTTAGATGCAGCTCTCAGTGGATGGAAAAAATTGACAAAAATAAATAAGCATTAAATATTTTACACAATGTTTGACCCTAAAAAGTCAATTGCTGTCAAAATATGGGCCAACTTCTAGGCCAAAATGCAGGCAATTGGCGTATAAATTTTTGCTTTCTTTTTAAGTAGAAGGAGTTCAAATCAAAGAAATATTCACTCAATATTAAATTTGTCGAAGCTAAAAATATTCCCTAAAATAAACTTAATTTCTTCTTAAGTATAAGGCGTACAAATTGGAGAAATATTCACTTAAGACCAATTAACTATCCGACAAGAAATAATTCCTTGACTAAGACTCAGTTGCCGAACTTTTGAAACTAACAAACGCACCTGGTCACACTGCAGCGCTGTCCTACTCCGCTTGGGTCAACAGTAAACTACGCAGATTTCATTGTTTGCAGCTCGCCAAGAGCAGCAGCAGCTGAGGGAGTAGAAGCGGCAGCGGGAGCAAGCACCGAGGCAGCAGCATGTAAATGTCCGTCTTGCTGCTGTGTGGCTATGGCCAAGTGGCCAGCAACTGTCGGGCCTGGTGGCAAGCCGGTGGCTCTGTGCCTGCCCAGGAGGCTTGTTGCTGTTGTCTTAAATTAATACCAAATTGTCAACGTTTGCAAAATGCTGCAAGCCGCACCAACGCCACATGATAAGACGCAGACCAACAGCAGCAGCAGCAGCAGCAGCAATAGCAAGACCAGGTCCAGGCTGAAGCCAGAGCTGGGGCGAGGACTGGGACTGTGGCTTGGGATTGGGCTGCATGCAGCGCCGAGGCTGAGGCGGCTGCGCATGCGTTTTGGATCTATGTACGTCTATGAGTGGCTGCTGCGGTTGCTTTGTTTGTGGCTTTCGCTCGTTTTGGTCTCGCTTTGGTCTAAGGTCTTCGATGGTCGTCAATTGATAGCCAGATTTGTGCAATTATCATTTTAATAATTGCCAACAATCTGCACGATATGAACCGACGCTACGTCTGCTGCCAGGACCAGGACCCCATTTAGTGAGCCAACCCCCCCCCCCCCCCTCCCTCTCGCCCCTTGTCCCTGGTCTAGGTTCTTGCTGGTCGTGCTCATAACCAGTAGCCAGCGCCTTGTACTTCTGCCTTTCTGCATTTGTTAGCCCCGACCGCATCTACATAATAATAAATTTATTACAGATTTCCGTCTGATTTGTTGTTAAGAATTTGTGCATTGCCCAGCCAGAAAACAAAAAAACAAAAAAAAAATAACAAACTGCTAGCACCCACTGTGAGACAAATAGAATACACTTAAATGGTTGCCCACTTAAAAGATGACGGCAGATTGTGCGATAAATCAGCGGAGATTGCAGTGCGTAGAGCAGAAGCGGCGCTGCTCAGGAACGCACTGCCTCCAGTATTTGATTCCATGCCAACCCACACAGTCCTTAATTGGCCCAGATATTAAAAATAGAGAAAATAACACAGCATTAACTGGTGCATTTTATAGAAAACCCTAAACAAACCTAACCTAATCTATGGCATATTTACATACGTAAATTTGAATATAAATTATAAAAATTGTATATATTCTTTCCTTGGATTTGAAATTTCTTATTAATTTAACCAGCTTTTTTCAAGGATTTGTCGGATCGTTAAGACAATCATCAATACCCCGTTTAAATTTGTATCCGATTCTCAAATCCCGAAACATCAGGCTGTTTGTAAGTTCTACTTTGAAACTCACTTAAATTCAAAACAAAAATGATTAAATTTAATAGGTTCCAAAAATGCGAGAATAGCCTGGGTAAAGACACGTAGCTAGGTAATGTTAATGTCTAAGGCTTGTATGAAAAAAAACGTACTATTATTATTTTAGTATTTTCCTTTCGGATAAAATGATAATACAACGATACGTTGGCCTGAAATTCGATCCCACATCCTTGACTGTGCCTAAGTAAACGCATTATGTAAGATCAATAATATATGGAAACAGCTTAGCAGGTAAGCTTTAGCAATACGGCTCCAAAATCAAAGAAAATATTAATCTATAAATCGTTTTTTTTATCCGTTTCAGTTTTGACAGTCAAATGGAGCATTATTCTATGCAAGCGTTGAGCACAAATCAAATACAATGCATTGGGACTAACGGTTCGTCTAAAGTTGGTCGGCAGCAGAAACTCACCTCCACCACGCATGCAGCCAGCTAGCAGGTAAGTAAGAAAGAAACATGACACACACACACACACACAGACAAACCCGTTTGCCTGGCCGATGCCGAGGGGCGAGCGCTCGGTCAACGCCCATTGCCGAGCTGGGCCAATCAGCGACGAGTTCGCGCCTCGCCGCACCGCACCGCGCCGTGCCACGAGCCAAACGGCCGCATGTAACGGCATGCGGCGGGGCAGCAAATACAGAAGCGAGTGTGGGATTTGTTTTTGTTTGACAAAGAGGCAAAGAGAGGCGCACGCAGTGCAAACAAAAGCTGAGGGTGTAACTGGGAAAATGTGTCGCACTCATAAATAAACGAGCGGCCGATAAAGATGGGGGACAAAAAAGAAATGTAAAGGGAAAAGCAAAAATGAAAAATGGAAATTGTTTACGATTTGCTCAGTTGCTGTTACCTGTGCCGCTCGCGACTGCGCATATCGCAGCACATTGATGGATGGGCACGCGTCTGGCATAAGGTGAATCCGTTACAAGAGCCCCGCTTGCAAACGGCGTCAGTCGGTTGTGGCTGCCGCTAACCCTCGAGCGAACCCTCGCGCTCTCAAGCGCAACGAGGGCGATCCGGCAGCCAACCAGCTACCATCAGCCCTCATCGCAGCTATATAATGAATGACTATCGGGGCTGATATACTATAGTGCTGACTATGGCCATATAGCTAGCTATATAGACCCCATTTTATGCATGTCTATGGCATGCTTCGCTAGCGCAATTGCGGCTTGTGGCACGCTCGTGTCTTGGAATGTCTTCGGGGGTGTCTCCGGACTTCTGACTTCCAAGCTAGCTGACTGACGGGCTATCTGACGGGCTGATGTAATGGCGTGCACATGTCCTTTAAATGCATGCATAGGCGTTCGAGGAAATTGCGCCAAAGGAAAGGAACTCATCGGAACAGGATCGTTAAATGGATGGCAGTTGCCCGAAGTGTGCCCGCGTTTTCTTGTCAGGCGTAACCTAGGCAGGTGAGGGCCACAGCAACAAAAACTGGAAATTACCAAGCAGAGGAGGCGACCAAGCGAGCAGCGATGATCTGGACATGGAGAAGGCAGGGTGCCATCAGGACGAGTCGCTAAGGAAAAACGTTGATAACCTACTAAATGAGAAGGTGCTTCTTAAGGCAAAGAATGCAATCAAGCAGCAGGTGCTGGGCCATGATTTTTAATTGCCATAGATTTCAAGATAAACGCCAAAAGTCTTGAAACACCAAAAGTCATGAGTTATATGGAAATCTTTTCATATCAATTCTAATAGTTTGTTCAGGCAAACGCTATTTCACGAGCCGACAAATACTTATTTATTACATCCACAAAGTCAACATTTCAGAACTTTGTTCTTTGGGAGCTAAAGAGTCAATTCAATACAGGATTCAGGAATTTCAATATATTATAGTATTTTCAAGCTGTCCGCATCTTAGATCTGATGATACAATCAGGGACGCGCTTTTATTTTTATAAGCTGCTTGCTAATAGTTAAAACTAAAGCGGCAGGGAGGATTACAGTCATGATTGGTTTTATTGGTTTTATTGTGGTATTTAATTTGATCTTAATAAATAAATAGATCTTTAAAGTAGTTAATGAAAAATAAATGAATATATAAAATATATATCTGAGAAAAACATATATATAAAAAAAATATAATAGCTTTCAGATAGACTCTATAACGTTATCTTAAATTGTATTTATAGTATATATTTATGTAAATATATATATATATTTAGCATATATACTGCGAAGTATAAAATTTAACCTAAAGTTAAAGAGTTTATCTGAAAGCTATTAAATTGTTCAATTATGAATTCTTCAATGAGTTGAATGAGTTGTATATTCACGCCTAGTTTTTGATTCATGTTAAAATCCTATAAAAATCAAAGTTATTTTTAAATTTTTAATTTTGTCTGTTAAATTTATGACTTTCTAAATATTTATAAATATTTATCAAGTTAATATCTTAATAATTCAAAATTATTTTAAATTTAAAACATTTTTCTGTTAATTTTATTTAAAGCTCGTAGATTTAGTAATTGCAAAAGTAATGTCTTTTCTAAATATTTAGCAAAATGTGTCTGCTTACTAAGGCATTAATTCAATACATTAAACAGCAGCAACTGCAAATTATAATCAGCTTATATATGTTAAGCTGATTATCTGACCATATATGTGTCTTAACTCCCTTCATACTCTCGGCTCAAATAGATCACTGTTTGCCTTATTCTCAACCCCTCATAACTAACAAAATATCCTTCAAATATGCTCGCTACTCTCGCGCACATGCGAGCAACTTAGCTGAGTCACAATCCCAATAGCTGAGCTGGCCAACAGTTGGTGGCAGCAGCAACAGCAACAGCAGCAGCAGCAGCAATAACAACTGTAACAGTTACAATACGAAAAGTACAGCGGGACGCAGGCGGCAGAGCAACAATACAACAAACGCCCGCCAAACTTTAACTGCATACCAATTAGTTGAGAAACGCGTGCTGCCAACAACAACAACAACAACAGCAGCAACAACAACAGCAGCAACAACAACAGCAGCAGCAGCAGCAGCAACAATAGCAACAACATGAGCTGCGCACGATCAAAGCAACTGATAGAGAGGAGAACAGGAGGCGCGGGCTCTGGCGCTGCGTAACTGTGTGTCTTGACCCTTACAACATGCAGGACAACAACAACAACAACAGCAGCAACAACGGCTGCCAACTGCTGCCAAAGGTGAAAAACCAGAGTTGGCAACACACGCACACACACACACACGCACACACACACATGCACAAAAGGGCTCAAGAGCCACCACTAAAGTCAACATTCGGGCACCAATACGCGCGCAACGAGGGTTCGTTTTGATTCGGCTCACACAAACACGCGCACACACACAGACAGAGCCTCGATTTTCGGGCCAAGTCGCCGTCGTCGTCGTCGTCGTCGCTGTTGCCTGGGCCCGGCACTCGCTTCACCGTTGGCTCAATTTAGAACCGCACAATCGGCTAAAGATTCAGTCAGGTGCGAAGCACCGAGCGATACAGACGTCTACGTCTCACAGCCGAGCCAAGTTTCATACTCAAAGATCTGTTACCAAAAAAAAAGAAGTTAGCTAATATCAGCTTGAGGCAGCAGCAAAAGCGATCGTTTACCGCGAGATTTAACGCCGTGTCGCCGTTGAAATTGATCCAAAAATTAAATATATACACATATATATATAAACGAATATTGTTGACCCAAGTGAATAAAGTGCATTTTTGTTGGCCAACTGCTGAGACCAAAGTAAACAGCCAGTGCTCAAGGCCAAAATATGAATCATTTGTCACCGCCGCCATCGCCGCACTCGCAGCCAAGTCCGGCGGGCTACGCGGGTCCATCGCTGGACAAGCAATGGATGCAGCGAGCCTCGGCCTTTAACACCGTGATAGCATCGGCAGCGGCCCACAAATTGAACAACAGAGGTGAGTCCATCGATCAGCGATCAAGCGACTAAAGTTTAACTGCTTGTTAAAAAATAGTATAATGAACTGATCTTCTATTTAACTAAAAGCTAACACATTAGTAAAGATTTTGGCATGGGAAAAGATTTAATGAAATCGCCAGAACTCAGCTTTGATGTGTGAAGATCTTTTAGGATCTGTTTTAACTAGAAGTTAACATATTAAACAACCAGTTAGCAGTTTTGATATGTACAGAACTTTCCATTTTCGTTTTAACTAGACGTTAACATTTAAAATAACATTTGAACAGTTCTGATATTGATATGTAAAGATCTTTGCAGATTTATTTTAACTGGAAGTTAAAACTTTCAATAACAATTTAGCAACATTTATATGTGCAAAGAGCTTTTCAATTCTTTCTTAACTAATTTGTTAGCTAGAAGTTAAAAATTTAGAAAACATTTTATGCAGAGGAAAAGATTAAAAAATAATCCACTTGATCAGAGATTCAAAAATCTTCAAGCTCTCGGTTTCAAAATCTGGATTTCTTTCTTGCATTAACAAAATATCAAAACTTTAATAGATTAAACTTGTGTCAGTCTTATTTGAACCCCTTACTCGCTATTCAACGAAATAAATTTCTGCAATCTCATCAAGATTCTCATAAAAAGTTCAATCATATAAAGGAAATTAAATCAGGTGAAATATGATTTAATATCTGGAATAAGGCTACATTGGAATAATATTCCTTCAACATCGTCCTTCAACATTTCTTTCGTACTCATGCGATTATTTCACCCGACTCTCTTACAGAACTGCCCTTCCTCTACAATCCGCTGCTCTACTCCAGTGCCCTGCTCTGGCCACAATTTCTGCTCTCTTCGGCCTCGGCGCTGGGCACACCATTAACACCCATGACGCCCAAATCGCCCGCCTCCATTGTGCTGAGCCAGCGCGATCGCGACTTTGCGCTAACGCCCGAAAAGGAGCAGGAGCTGCAGCACAACAGCAGCGGCAGCAGCAAGCAAGTGCTGCTGCCGCAGGACGAGGACATGCCACTGAATCTGAGCACCAAACAGCGTGCCAGATCCCACTCGGACCAGGATCACGATCACAATAGCAGCAGCAGCAGCCACAGTGGCAGCCTGAGCGGTGGCAGCCTCAGCGATGAGCCCGAGCAGCCGCTGCATCTGAGCACGCTCAGCAATGCCACGCCTCCGCCTTTGAGGGCTGTGAACCTGAAGACGGCAAACAGCGGCACGCCGCAGCAGCGCCGCTCGCAGGGCAACATAATTTGGTCGCCAGCTTCCATGTGCGAGCGCTCCACGCGGCATGAGGCAGTGGCAGTGGCGGCAGCAGCAGCAGCGGCGGCAGCGGCAGCGGAAGACTACGAGGAGCAGCAAGTGGATCCCATAGTGCGCAAGTTCAAGTACGAAAGACGCTCGGCTGCCTCCGTATCCTCGCTGCAGTCGCCGCTGTCCTCGCTGGTGCCGCAGACCAATGTTGCGCAGGATCTGGACTTTGAGACCGCGCAGCAGCAGCTGTACGCGCATCGCAGCGCCTTCATGGCCGGCCTAACTGGCAACAATCTGGAGTTGCTGACGCAGCACCTGAAGACGCAGCAGCAGCAGCAACAACAACAACAACAGCAGCAGCAGCAGCATCAGGTTAAGGCCGAAATCGTGGCCGAGCAGGACAACAACCGTTCGGCAGCCGCGCTCATGGGTCTTGTGGCAGTCGCCGAATTAGGCTACATGCGTAATCAACACCAGCAACAGCAACAGCAACACACGACCCAGCAGCAGCAGCAGCAGCAACAACAACATCAGCAGCAACAGTTGCATCTACAGCAGCAGCAGCAGCAGCAACATCCTGATTCAACGGCCACAGATGTTGCGCGTCGTTCGTCCTCCTCATCATCGTATCATGGCGAGTGCGAGGAGAAGCGCAGCGGCAGAAATTTTCAGGTAAGCAGACGGGAAGTTCACGTTTTTTTTTCGTTTTTAGTTTTTTTTTCTTATTGAGCAAAGTCGAATCAGAGTCGAAACTAGCGGAAGTGCAAAGACTGAGAAAAGGCGCTTAAGAATGGGATTTGATAGTCCGCTTATATATAATATATATAATATATTTATATAGTCATATCGATTATCAAAACCATTTCCTATATTTTAGAAAATTGCCTGACCAAAAAAAATGTTTTAAATTCAGAAAAATCCAAAACCAATCCAAAATAGAATGATATAGAAAATACTTACAGAAAGCTTATATATAGAAAGTTTATAATTTTCATAATTTCTTCGCTTTCCTTTTTTCTGGAAACTTGAAACTTGCTGAAACCAAGCAAAGCATTCATTTATATCATTTTACTAAAACTAAGCCCACAAATATTTCGAGCATACTTTTATCTAATCAAAGTATGTCTAGGATATATGTCAGAGCATTGTCCTTGTCTCTAATGACACAATTACGTGACATCGGCTGTGTCTCAAGTACTCAATCCTTCTTTCAACCCCTCCCTCTAGCATGCACGGGGGAAAAACCTTATATATTGCATAGGTCTAGAGCATATCTGGCATATCGCATTGCATTGCGTGTCTGTTGTTGTTCGGCCCCGCTTACGATTGTCCCGTGTTAATTGTTTCATATTTTGAAGGTCCTGTCGCGTTTTAATTGCTCGGCGCTATCGATGGACAGACGACACATAGCGCCCGACTATTTCAATTTGGAAAAGTGGCACAGCAAATAATGTAATAAAGAACTCTTCTATGGAAATTCAATTAGGCACAATCGAAATCACGCAATTAGTTAATCAAATAATTTTGATTATTTCTCGAAGCGGGCGAAGCGGACGGGCGGTCGGCGGTGCGCCTCACGAAGATTTATGTACAAATTACGCGTACAATTTTTGGTACCATAATCATAATTGTCGTTTTGTTAAAGGGCAGACCTTTAAGCCATTTTTTGCCACATTAGGCACACACGACGAGAGAAAGAAGGGCACACGACCACGGACTGACACATGAACTGGCAACAAGAAGCCGGAGTCGGGGGCATGGTCATGGTCTGACTACCCCCGCTGTCAGTTAATGTTTTTATCAAAGGCACTTCAACACCCGCGACACAGGCATTCGGTCTCTCTCATTTTATTTTTTTCACACATTTCACGAGAGGGTTTTTCGGACTCGAGTGAAATGCGATAGCCATGAAGGGTTTCCAGGCCGGGCGCAGACATATGGTCAAAACAGTTGCTCAAGTCCTGGGCGCAGGCGCAGGCGAAGACGGATATTTTTTTTCTTCGTATGTGTGTGTGTGTGTGTGTGTGTGTTTTTTTTTGTAAGTCTTTACATCTGCTGTTGGAATATGAAAGCGCGGCCCACCCGGCTCGACTGGAGCCTGAGCTTGGGCTGAGTCATGTGTTTGGGGTTTCTACGCGAGAGTTTTGCCAACTTCCGTTTCGGGTCGAGTTGAGCAAATTGACATTATGGCTCAGACCTGGCTGTAACAATGGGCCAACTAATTGGGGCTCAGTCTAGGCATGGATACCGCTCAAATGCAACGCACAAATAGAAAATCCCAAAGCAGAAAAAAACAATTTAAATAAAAAAAAAAACAACAAGAAAGAAATTGTTTTTTCTTTTGTTTTTTTTTTTTTTTTGTTTTTAAGCAGCGCACTTGTGTCAATTTACAGTATGCGTAGGTTTTCGAAAGGTTTTTCTCATTTTTTTTTTTAAATTCCATCTTTTTTTTTTATAAATGTCACACACGTAGCTCGGTCGATCGCTAGGCCAGCCCAGTAGATGGGAATGGGAATGGTAATGGGATTGAGTTGTGTCAATACGGGAGCGACAATGTTTAGAGACTTGCATGTTGCAGCAGCACAAACTGTGCAAACATTTAATCTCCTCGCAGCGAAGATGTTACGAGCAGAGTCTGCCCAGTTTTCTGCTCTCCCCAATACCCAATCCCCCAGGCCAGCTGTGTTTGGCCTACAAATAGTAGATACATTCAGTTATAGCTTAATATCATTTAATATGGAGCGTTAAGTTCGCAGCGCGATAGAGACTTGTTTCTCTTGAGTTGTGCGTGTGGAGAAATGTTTTTCACTTGAGATTTAACATTGAGCTGGGCTGTTGTTTGCTTAGCTGTTTCTTAAAAATAAACGCTAAGCTAATATACTAGCTACAAGATATGGGACTCTCTGGCCTGGCAGCCATATTTTCGCTCAGTCGTCTGGGTTTTATCCCAACTGTCGCCAAATATTTGCACACTCACAAATCTAGTTTAATTCATAAGTATTTAGCACACACATTATTTTGTTGTTTGTGATTTTATTTGTCGCAAAAAATTTGTAGACTTTGTTTCGTTTTCAGGCTGTTCAAACATGTCGTTATTTTCGATTATTTTGACTCGTTCTGTGCAAACATCAATATGTGTATATAACATGTTCCAATTCGGATTCTTTTCTTACAGTGTAAACAGTGCGGCAAGTCGTTCAAGCGCTCCTCAACACTGTCCACACATCTGCTAATACACAGCGATACCCGGCCGTATCCCTGCCAGTATTGCGGCAAGCGATTCCATCAGAAGTCCGACATGAAGAAGCACACCTACATACATACGGGTAAGTTGAATGAGCTATCCGCCTATCTAGCTCTATCTCCCTCTCTCTCTCCCTCTCTCTCTCTCTCTCTTCTCTGTCACTGTCACAGGTTGATATTAGCATATTTGATAAGCAGGCTGGGTTTCAACTCAATTCAAATGAATGGGCACAGTTGTTGACCCCCATGAAATTGACTTTGGCGTGTGCTAAAGGCAGCCAGACGACAGAAGCTAGTCTTAACTATATTTTTTGATCTGTATATGCCCTGATTATGCTATATATATATATGGCTAATAGCATGGATAATAGACCAAGGAGAAGTTTCCAGGATAAGTTTCAATCGCTAAATTCCTTAATTGCACAACAAATTTAGGGAATAGCTTTTTATACCCTGTGCCCATAGAAAATGGGTATCATGATTTTGTGAAAATGTAACAGACATAAGGAAGGATCTCCAAGTTCATAAAGTATACATAATCCTTCTTAGCAACAACAACTGAGTCGCTGTCCTTATAAACGGGTCAGAGGCTATAAGAGCTAGAGATTGGAAATATTCAACGTAGGTTCCCCTAGGGCCACATTTACTTTAAAAACTTGATTAATCGATAAGAATCGTTATCGATATAGCGTTTTTTGACTATATCACGAAACTAGGGAGACCAAATTAAGTATGTAGGGAATACCCTAAATGCAGATTCACAATATTTCACTGTTTGAGTATTTCCCCCATCTAAATGAATATTGTTGGAGCTATATACGTCATCTTTAGGGCATCGCCTAGTCGGGCACTCGCGACTTGAGCACACTTCTGAGTGAGAATAATGGCTGTTTGCTTTTAACGCATTTCGATTTGAAATGTCAAACATATTGTGGCAATGTGTCAAGCATAAACGACGTCAACAGCTCACTTTGCAGCTCTTTGCATGTCCCAGCTCAAGTGATTTGAGCCACCCTCATTTGTAAGTCGCGGCCATTAAAATCAGCGAGCACTCCAGATGCTTATCGGCTTTCAATTTGTCTAATTGCTGAGAATAGTATGGCCACGTGCAATCGTACAATTAATAAACTTTAGTTTACATTATAATAATTGTTTTATCGATTTTATTTGCGCTCGTTGCAGGTGAGAAGCCGCACAAATGCACCGTCTGCCTGAAAGCCTTCAGCCAAAGCTCGAACCTGATCACGCACATGCGCAAGCACACGGGCTACAAGCCCTTCGGATGCGGACTCTGTGATCAGTCCTTCCAGCGCAAGGTGGACCTGCGCCGTCATCGGGAGAGTCGACACGAGGAGGCAGCTGGAGCCCTGACGCCGCCGATCAAAATGGAGGTCAGCAGCAGCAGTTGCTAGAAGCGAGCGAGCGTGCGATCGATTGGATCATCTGTAACATCTGTAGATATATATAGAACATGTCTGAGACACAAACCAGACCCAGTGGGGATTACCCGAAACCAGTAACAACCACCAAGTTGGCCCGCCTGCAAATGCAAAGTCGTCTAAGTCTAAGTCGTCGCTATGAAGCCAAAGTTTGTTTTGTTTGGGCATCCGAATACATTGTTAAGGGAACCGAAGGAACATTTCTCCCATTTATTTTGCTCAATCCTAGACCTAAGCTCTGTACATACTGACAAAAAAAAACCATTTACAAGACTTCTCTAATAGACCTAAATACAGTATGCTTAAGTAAATATTATTTAGAATTAAGCTAACATAATTTATTGCATAGAAAATGTTTTTTATCTTTTCAATTTGTTTTACCCTAAATACCAAATCCAAAATTGGCAAAGAAAACGCAGCTAAAAGTACCAAAGACTCCAAAAAAAAACAACAACAAGAAAAAGAAAACTTGGCAAAGCTTGATTTAAACCTAACTTATCGAAATTTTTGTCTGTACCATTGTTTAATTTACGAAATATTTATTTTTATATAAATTATCTAAGCCCTATTGAAAATGTTCTCGATATGGGGATTAGCGTTAGCTTCTAAGTTTTTATTGACATTTTTTATTATTTATAAAATCATTTCATTGTATTTAGTTATGTTTAATTGTATTCCTTTTAGCAAAAATAAAGTTGAAAGCTAAAGAAACTTCAATTCGTTTAAAACAGCTGTCGCAAAAAATTGCACAGCTTAAGGCTATATAATTTGGGCCAACAATCTGTGAAGATTTTTAATAGAAAAGAAAATGTATTTATTGCGATTTCTTTATTTATTTGATTGTAACTTTAGCAGAAATTGCGACTCTTAGTCCAAGTCCAACCACATTAACTTAAAAACTTTTTGACTCAAATATTCAAGTATTTTCTTCAGATATTGTTCACTCGAATATTTTTATATTCTGAGATTTATTTGCAATTTTTAATGCCAATAGCATTGCATCTTAATTCTGAGAATTTTATTTACAATTTTCAAAATTATTCACAAATTAAAATCGTTTTTAATTATAGAACTAAAATGATAGCTTTTCTTGAGTAAATTATCTCCAAATATTAAACACGCTTGAATTTAGATTTTCTGATATTCAATTTAAAGAGGTGCATAGAAAATTTTAATTTAAAATAAAGCATATTTTGTCTGGCATAAAAAAAAGAAATATAAATGGAATTCCTAATGAAATTCTTTGAATTTTCTTTAGCCAATGCCTTTGAATAGTTTCTCAAGCCAGGTATGAAAAATGTCCCTAAGAAAGTAGCTAATTTACCAATACCTCGACTAAGCCTAAGTCCGTATATTAGTCTTAAATGTCTGCAGATCAAGGACGTTGCAGTGGCAGCCGTTTTGGCAGCCAAATTCATGTGGCAACATTTTGTTACAAATTGTGAAAAACACTCCAAATATGTTTTTTTTTCTGGAGTAGCTCGTAAACCTGATTTTATAGTTACATTTTTGCACGTACTCAATTGCAGGCAACAGAGGCTCCTGGCAACTGGGACTTGGTCCGGGGACTGCTCCTGTTTCGGGTGCCGCGGTGATCTTTGATCTTCGCTCATTGCGGTATGCTAGGAATGCGCTTTGTAAAACGCCGCGTTACAAGCACCGTTTCCCATTCCGGCGTGCAAAAGAAAAGGGAGGGGGGGGGGGAGGGGCACGGCTGGCCAGCTACCGAGCACGACAAAACGCCAATAAGTGTTCGAAGTTCCAGCTAATTGCGCCCGAGAGTGGAGTTCAGTTGAGTTGAGTTGAGTCGAGCGGGCAAGACAGGTAAGTCAAGGCGGGGAAACAGATCGGGAGCGATCATCGACATTCGATTGCTGATCGCAATTTCGGCCAAAAACCGAATGTCAATGCGTTTTGCGGCACTTTAAAACGCCCGAAATGATGTTTGGCAGTTTACAAATCACCGACTCTGGTCCGCGCTCATTATCGCCATTCATCGTTGGCTGCAATCAAAATCAGCGAGCATTTGGCAAGGATTTCACTTTGGCCCTCAACCGCCTCGCCGCTTTTGCCACTTGTGCCCGTGGCATGCAACAAATTGATCGAAAATTGACAAAATATTGGGCACAAGCACGAGAAAAACACAAAAAAAAAAGGAGGAGCAGAAGCGCGATCAAAAATATGCAGTTCAATTGCATTGGCGGCTGCAAAACAATTCAGCTCAAGGACCTTGGCCAAGTGCCGACAAAGCGATAAATTGCAGAGCAGTTGGGGTAAGCTACACGACTCTATGTGGCAGCCGCCAAGTATTTCATAATGTAACTTCAGATATGCATGTCCGGCAAACAGAGCTGCCCGAAATTAGAATTCAATGATAGTGCAATTTATATTATGGAGTACAAATTTATGCTGTTACTGTAGCTTAGCAACTTTTATCAGCGTGAGGATCGGGGGTTAAAAAAGAAAAAGTAGCTTTGGTTAAAGATTGCTTAATTTAAATAAACCAAAAAATCACATTTCAAATATAGATTTTAGCTCGAAAATGTTGCTCTATGCAACTTTTATATAATAGAAATTATCCCAAAACTTTCTTCATTTAATTTAAGTTTATCTCAAGTGTTTTGAGAAATTTTAAAAATTAATTTTGAATGAATTTTCAGCGACAACTTTTAAATGTAAATTAAAAATTAATTTGCAAGCTTGCACTTTTATATTACAGACATTTTTTAAAAACTTTCCTAGTTTAATTTAAGTCAGGAATTATTTTAGAATTAGATTTATCTCTAAAACCAAAGTATTTTAATTTTCTGCGACAATTCTTTTATATAAATTGATTTAGATAAAACCATTTATTGAAAACCCTTGGAGTAAGGACCGCTGTCTACGCCAGGTAGAGCTGGTTGGACTGTGTCTGCCATATGGTGGCTTTAGGTTTATTAACCCCTAAGCCGTTAACACCTGAGCCCACATAATTTGTCATGCCATTTGAATTTGTACAGCATTCAAATACAAATAGACGGCAAGCCCCCATAAAAAAAAAAACTAAAACTATAAGAAAGAAAATACGACAGTTGAACAAAAGCTGCGCTCAGCTGCAACCCCAAATTGAATAGGAAGAGGAGCGCGAGGAATTTGAAGAGGAAATCATCTTAGATGAAGTGCCTTGAAGTGGCCTAGACGGAGCTGGGCCCGCAACATATCCGTTTTCCGGCTACCCCTAGCCAAAAGGTGCCGGGCAGGTGACTTTGACTTTGGCTATTAATAAAAATAATAGTTGCGGCTAAAAAGGTGAAGCGGTCGAGCGAGGATCTGAATTTAGCCAGCGAGCCGAGCCGTGCGTACGTGGAGGCCATCACATGAAAAAAAGATGTCTTAGGTCAGTTGCCGTCGAGGGCTGCAAATGCGACGGCGACTGCGACGGCGACGTCGACTGCGACTGCGACGAGGCTGCTGCAGGTGAACCTAAGCGAGGGCACAATTAAAAGGCCGACGAGGGATGTGGCAAAAGGCACCTGTGCGCGCAGGAGCCGGGAAAGGCAATGTTACAGCGGCTCATTTATGTTTATGTCCTTTCGTTGTAAGCAGCGCTGATTCCGATTCCATTTTGAGCCGCACAAGTGGCGCGCCAGCACCTGCTGAATCCTGGAACCTGTCGTCGTTGTCGTTGTCGTTGTCCTGGCTCAATAATTGTGCGCCAGACGACGCGTGCTCAAAGCCGGTTTACAGCAAACATATGCCAGCTCTTTTCAGCTCTTGCAAATTACAACAGCAGCCAGCGCCAGCCTGCACATCCAACCGATACCGGTCCAATTGGCATGGGCCACACGCCACCAACTGAACAGCAGTCATAAAAATCTCTCAGTCGACCACAAAACTGCCAAGATCGAGATCTGGGCTGCAATCGTTGTCTAATCTAGGCCCGAGCACCTTGAGGGAGTGTGCCGCAAGCTGACGCATGCAAAAAAAGTCAACCAAAAACAAAAACAAAAAATATAAAACCAAAAACCAAAAGAAGGTGCATCCAACAAAAAGCCAACAATAACAACAACAACAACAACAATTGCTGTAAGTGCGCCTGCACCTGTCACGCTCATCGATATTACAAGCGGCGGCGGCTACGGCTACGGCCAAGCCAAATGACCCAATTTTCATGGGCCCTACAGGCCTGTAGCCTGGACCTCAACCAGAGCCAGAGCCAGAGCCAGAGCCTGCTCTCATTTCTTTGTGAGCCTTCCGATTTTTAATGTGTTTTTCCTCGCTTGAAATGGATAAGTTATGATTGCTGCACTTTTCCCCCAATAGAGATTGTCACCTGCAGCATGAGTTGGGTATTTGGAATTAATGTTGGATTGATTGTTAGAGATTGACATGGAGAGTGTGGAATCGGGCAGGAGGGGGGAATACGCATAAATGGGATATCTTCAGGGCAGCTGAGTATGTGTGTGTGTGTGTGTGTGTGTGTGTGGGTTGCACATGCTGTAATATTATTTATTAATATTTGTTTAATGCTAAGTCTGATTGGTTTTGAATTCTTAGTGTGATTATATTATTATTTTTGATATTATTATTATTAATATTATCATTACTATTTTTTTTTTATTTCTATTAATATTTATTTATCAGAAATATTATTTAATTTTGTGGTTAATTATTAATTTTATTATCATTATAATTTTAATATATTTTTATTTTATTATTTTATTTATTATTTCTCATATTTTTATTTTCATTGTCATCATTAATTTTTGATTTTATTTTTAAAATTTTTTTTTGTATTATTTTTATATATTATATATCCGTCTTTTAATAATAATAAGGATAAAGAAAATCCTTATGCCTCTATTTCTGGACATTAAGTCCGGATTCTCGTTTCTCTGATAATTCATTTAGCAGTAATAATTCCTTCAGCAAAAGCCCCTCTAACGAGAATTCCTTATTAGTGAATAATCAAAAAATCCATGGATTGACATTAACAGTGATATATCTCACAGTCTTAGGCAGGTGAGTTGTCTAAGTGACGTATTCCTCCATATATATACTACTAACTAACTAAATCCTATACCTATTAAAGGAATAAATTCGGAATAGATATCTCACTGATCTTAAGTACAGCTTCTGGTCTTTGCATTAAAGTTCCTTGAGGAAAATGCAATAGGAAACAGTTTAGCTAGTTCGCCCGACCAAATCAGAAGCCAACAGAATGCCAGTCAGTCAGAGATTAGCCTTACCTTACTTTGGAAAATCTTAAGCTCGTTCGATTTGAATGCGAACATTGACAAAGGGAAAGCAATGACAAATCCAAGTCAAATATGCAACAACCCCTGCCATAGGGGGGATTTGAAAGGGGGGTGGGAGGAGGGCCAGCACGAGTCAAGTGGCAGGGCAAAGCAGTTTGTGAAATCTATTTAAACAGCTTAATTGGCAAGAACAGCAAGAAGCAGAGACAGCAACTAAAACTAAACAAAAAAAGCAAAAAAGCAAATAAACAACCCGCAGACAATGAGCCAATCAGCAGCTTAGCCAGAGGGTGCAACAAAAAGGGCGAAACCAAAAAGCACAACCAAAAGCCAAGAGCAGCAATTAAAATGACAAAATCTAAACACAAAATGGTACGGATTTTGCCATGTGCCACAGTCAGACAGTCAAACAGTCAAAAGGTGCAGGCCAATAAGAAGACCCAAGAGTGCAGCCTGCCGCTGTCCGAGCCACAAACAGAAAATACAGCTAAAAAAGACATTGCAATCGGGTGCAACCAGCTGCGTGAATACTCGCTCATAGCCAAGAAATGCCCGATAAAAATAGCTTTAAAATGTTTCAACATTTCTAAAACAAAATATTATTGTATTAACTCGAAAGAAACTTGTCTATTCATAGTCTAGAAGATATATATTCTTTTTCCTCACTCTCTTAGACTTATCCATATAATCTTCTCACTTTACCTGTGAGTATATATACAAGACTATATATATTCCCAGTTTCACGTCTTGAACTATGCGGAAATTCAGTTTAAACTGTTAAAGGTATATATTTTACCCAATATATCTTAAACAGTTTATCTGATATAAACGGATATATACAAATTCCTATAGCTTCAATAATTGTTCTTTAAACGAACAGACGAGCGGACAGCTTGAGGCGCAACTAATATACTCTTTTTAACTTGTCGAACGAGTATAGAAAGCCGGGCTCAAGGTGTTTTTCTTGAGCAGAAATCAATGTGCTTGGCCTAAACACAGATTATAGACAGATTTGGAGGCAACAGACGGCGGCACAAAAGGACAACAAATTGCGGCACAAGATGCAACACACACACACACGCACACACACACATGCAGGACTCTGACTCGGAGTCGGACTCGGCCTCTGTCAGAGTCATTATAAGAATTTAAGCGCACCTTTTCATTTTGTCTGCAACAGATCGAGCAGCGACAGGTGCGCAACGCATGCGCGCAGAGATAAGCCGAGAGAACAGAGCATAGCGGTAGATGGCCCGATGGCCCGATGGTAGATGGTAGATGGTAGATGGTAGGATCCAACGCAGGGGTCCTTCTTGCCGAAAGGCGTTATCCCAAGAGCGCTGCTGCTGCTGCTGCTGCTGCTGTGCCAGATTCGACTGTGTTCGTTCGCTGGCCAAATTAATTCCTTGCCATATTTTATAATTCAACAGATGACACGAGCCAACGCAGAGCACCCGGAGGACCAGAAGCAAAAGCTTAGCTTAGCAAAAGAGGGTCCTCGGGCCTAAGGTACCGCTTATTGCGGCTCGTTTGTGGCACATGCCAGCGCAGGACCTCAACTCCTGCTGCTGCCGCTGCTGCCAATTTGGCTGCCTCCTACAATGGGCATTGCCGACTTGCAGTCGCATTTGTTCAAGCCGATCAGCCTCTGAAATGTAGAGTATGCTGGGTTCGCTTTTGTTCGGCGCATTTTGTTAAGCGTTTTCGGTCAGCTTGCGGTTCTTGGAGTCCTTTGGCACATTAGTTTATTTATTTGAAAATGCAAGAGGTTTCTTTTTTTGTTCCTTTGCTTATTTGCCAAAAAACAGTTTGTTGAACCTTTGGCTGATGACAATGACCTTTTCTATGCGTTGCTCCGGCCAAAGGGTTGACGGTTCAGCACCCTATAACAGCATTTTTGGTCAAACTACAGTTACAGTGGAACCCGAGGCAGCGAACTCTACAGGTGGAAATTGTACGCATGTCACACTAATTTCCAAGAGTCCCTTTGTGGGTTTGTTGATTGTTTGCCTGCTTGTTGTTTTTGTTGCACAGTTGCATTCGCTGTGCAAATTTGCTTCTTTGTTCAACGAGTCCCGAATTGTGTTTGTAGGCTTAAGAGTATTTGAAGCGTTAGTTTTGGGTTCGGTTTCGGTGTCAGTTTCGGTTTCGGTTTCGGGGCTCTCAACTACTGCCTTTTGTGCCAATATATCAAGCGCATAATTACCTGATAAACAAAGCGACAAGTTATTCGCAGAGGCATTGAACTGCCTCGACAGGATCATTAGATTGAGACAATCGAGTCGAGGTGTTCTTGGCAGTTGAATGAACTGCCCCGAGTTCAATCACTTGACAGTCAAATTGGTAACAATTATATGACTTCTGATGCCAAATACGATAATTAATTAAAACTTGAAATTTTTATATGTTTTTGCAACAGTTTAAGCCCACGGAGAGCGTAGAAATATTCAACATACTTTTTTATACATTAATATATATAAAAATATAACAATTTATATTAAGCTTTCATTTATTCATATACGATAAAATCAGTAATAGGGCTCTATTTTAAAATTTGCACTTACCGCTTTCCAAATCCTATTTTGAATTTTGTTTGTAATTTAAATTTCAATAGTAGCGCGCCAATTTACCGCACACTGCACTTTTAACAGAGCTTATTTACGATCTTACGACCCGTTTATGTTAACTACTTACAGACGTAATGTTAATGTAAAGACACGAACCGGTTAATCGAACTTTTTTATTTCGCGCGTTTTTCACAAATTTGGCGCTTCTTTCAGCAGCTGCCATATAAATAACTATTTCACGTGTTAGCCGTGTAATTTATTGTGTTTATCTTAACTTCACTCATTGGGTAAGCACACTTTATATTGCACACATAAAAAAAATATATTTTTGCACTTGTAATTAATAAATTACACTAAATTTGACGCCGCCGACGCGTCTCTCTGCCACTTCACTTCACACACAACTACATCCTTTTATGAGTATGTATGGCAGTGTGCGACAATGAGAATGGCGAATTAGCATAAATAGCAGGGCAGCATTTTTGAGTACCGTTAGAAATAAGCAAAGCAAAGAAGAAACGAAAATCAAAAACTAAGTTGAATTGTTTTTGGTTTTTGTTCGTTTTTTTTGCTTTGCATCACTCGTGGTTTTTGTATACATACACGTATATATATATATTTATCTGTACGTAAACGTGTAATAGTGTTTTTATGGGTATGTAGGCATATTTTATGCATATTCTTTTAACAAGTTGATGATTTAATATACTTTATATTGGTCATGTTTGTATGTAGATATTTGCATGCATATATGTCAATAGATATGTGCCTGTATGTATGTATATGTGCACCTTTTTTATGTATGGTCTATATGTATTAATATATATGTAGGTGTGTACATATGTGCATGTATGCACATGCATGTATCTATGTACATATGATTTGGGATGAGAGGGATTTGTAGACAGCTAGTTCTGGGCGCAGTGACATAACATTCCTGTCTTCCCCCCCACCTACGGCAGGTGCGCTGAGCCTAAACCCAACATTGCAGCAGCAAAACAAACCCGCGCCATCTACAATCGATGTGTCCGCCATTGCCAAGGAGCATCAGCTGGAATGCCAAACAGTTTGCGAGAGAATCAATCAGCAGGTGGCCAAGGCGGAGCAGGGCCGGCTTTTTGCCGTAGTCCATTTGTGCGGCAAGCAATTTAAAATAACTCCGGGAGACATAATCCACGTCGAGGGCTACTATCCGCCCACGATAGGCGATGAGATTAGCCTGGACAAAGTGCTGCTGGCGGTTGATTGACCCATAATCATATAGGTACGTACATATGTTCATGTTCATAGAATATATAACATATTGTAATCCTCTCTATACTCATGTTTTTTCAGTGATGTGTATAAATATAAAGATATATATATAAATCGGACTACTTCTAATAAATGATAATTTGTGCAATTTTGGGGTAAGTCAACATTTATATACTTATATTTATATCTATGCAAAAATATATGTTAAGGCAATTCAGACCAGGACATAGCTTGTATCATAGTCTTTTTATAGAGATATATAAAAAATAGTTTTTAATATTTACGACTAATCATTCCCATGACATCTATATAGTATAGACTGCTTTCAAATTTAAAACAGAGATTAGATTAGAAATCCTTTTTGAAGTCGGTCAATTCTTTAAAAAACTATAAATTGAATGTTCTAAGTTAACCGATGGCATTTCAGACAGATGTGGAAAAGTGTTTGAATATGGAAAAACATAGTTTACAAAAAATGTTTATATAATTAACTTATGATTAGGAATAAATGGAATATGCACAAGGTAAAGTTTTAGTCAAAGTGCAAGCTTTCTAATCGACTTAAACGTTTGTCCAGCTGCGTCAAATAGTTGAAAATCTCGTCAAGCTGAGCGGCACAGCTGCAGCAATCCGAGCCCGAATCCGACTCCAGCGACACATCCAATACCTGCGGAAGGTGTGCTAGTTATGCTCTGGGCTTGCAGTGGGATGATGCAGCTGTGTGCGCGTGTGTGTGTGTGTGCGTGTGCGTTTGGGTCAAACTAGTTGAAAAACGGAGTGGTATAGTTGCTCTTTAGCTCCAGGGATTTGGGTTCACTGCGACCCGAAAGTTTGGGGCCTGACAAGTTGGTGGCACAATTGCTGCTGCCTAGCGGTGTCTGATGTTTTGTGTGTTGGCTATCAACCACCTGGAAGTGTTCGTCCAGTGCCTGATAGGCCAAAGATTCGCGCGGATCGATGCGAATGCTGAGATCATTCGATGCTTTCGAATTGGCGCCGAGGCTTATTTTCGAGGTGGAGCTGGTGTCGCAACAGGACGTCGAAAGGGATTTCTCCTCAAACTGAGAGGCATCGTAGGTGTGCAAATTGGATTCCCAGATGAGCAGCTGTCAAGATAAATGAACTTGGTTATTGAGAATTGGATTAATAATGAAATGCACTCCCACCTGGCGATCGCTGCCCGCGGTGGCAAACTTGTTGCCGTCCTGGGTGAAGGCAACCGCATTCACCGCATCCGTATGGCCAGTCAGCGTGTATATGGGTCGGCCCTCGAGCAAGTCCAGAATACGTATGGTCTTATCATCGCTGCCGGACAGCAGAAAGTTGCCGCTCGGATGGAAGGCCAAATCGTTGACGGGCGCCGAATGCACCACGTACAGCTGCAGAAGCTGGCTGTTAACCACATCGAAGATCTTGATGCGATTGCAGCCTAGGGCAACGGCCACCATGTTGCCCCACGGATGCCAAGCGACCTGACGCGGTGCGGCACGCTCCTCCGTGAAGGTGCGCACGCACTCCCCGGTGCCCACCTCGTAGATGCGCAGCGACTTGTCATCGCTGACGCTGGCTATCAGCTTGCCGTTGGGACTGAACTTGGCGGCACGCACCCAATTGTTTTGCTGGGCAAACGATGAGATGAACTGGCGCCGCGAAACGCGCCACAGTTTGACCGCCTTGTCGTCCGAGGCGGTCAGCAGCAGCTGTCCGGTCGGGTCGAAGTCGACGCTGCGCACGGGCTTGCTGTGGGCCAGAAACTCGCCGGAGACGCCGCGCACCTTTGGCTCCCAGATCTTGACAGTGCGATCCTGACTGCACGAGGCTATGAAATTCCCCTTGGGCGACCAGCTGACGCCGTAAACTGCCGCCGAATGGGAGGCAAAGCGAATACAACGCGCCGCCTGCTTGAGATTCCACAGTATTACAGTGGCGTCCATAGCGCTGGTCGCGATTTGATGGCCATCCGGGCTAAAGCGCAGCTGAGTTATGTTGCCAGTGTGTCCTGTGAAATGGCGTTCCAGTGCCGGATCGCGAAACATTTTACTCTCCATAGGTTTTGCTAACTTTATCGAATTCGTTGACAGCAACAAATTTCCGCTTCAGTTTGAAAACATGAAGTGCGTAGCGACGCAGGCTTCGACTGTGCCGATAACATATGCATAGCAGCCAGCTCTTGAGCGCATGCATATGGCTCGCAGTGCTGTTAAGTGGTAAGGCTCTTATGCTATGCAACACTGTCGATAACACGCAGAGGTTGCGGTGCCGCTTATTTTGTTATCGTTTCCATTCGGCACACTTCTGCTGCTCGAAACTTTGGTAATTGCAATTACATTAGAATTTGTAGTCTAAAAAGCGGCAAATATATGTCATTGCTAGCACAAAGCGTGCGCCAAGCGCTGCGCCACACAGCACAGCGTGCCACATTAAGCGGTAAGCTTCTAAACAGCCAGTCCTGGGCGCAGTGACATAACATTCGTGACTTCCCCCCATCCCCGACAGGTGCGCTGCGTGCCCTGAGCCTAGGCCCAACATTGCAGCAGCAAAACAAACCCGCGCCGGCTACAGTCGATGTGTCCGCCATTGCCAAGGAGCATCAGCGGGAATGCCAAACGGTTTGCGAGAGAATCAATCAGCAGGTGGCCAAAACGGAGCAGGGCCGGCTATTTGCCGTAGTCCATTTGTGCGGCAAGCAATTTAAAATAACTCCCGGAGACATAATCCTCGTCGAGGGCTACTGGCCGCCCACGATAGGCGATGAGATTAGCCTGGACAAAGTGCTGCTGGCGGGAGCCCGCGATTTTACATTGATTGGCCGACCCATACTCGAGCCGGGTCTGGTCACGGTAAAGGCGACGATTATCGAGAAGACGCTGACGCACACTAAAACACATTTCAAAAAGAAGCGCAGGAAACAATATATGCGCATCAACTTCCAGCGCTCGCCCAACACCATGATCCGCATCAATTCCATTGAAATGACACGTCCAGTGGATGGCGGCGGCGAGCCGGATGCACAGCCCTCGAAGCGCCTGTTCTAGGAAACGGCTTTGCCTTATTCAATTAAATATATGTGTACAAATGATATATGAAATGTGTTAATTATTTAGAACAACACATTTAATGTTCATTTATTCACATTTTCAAGAAAAACCCAGCTGTTGCGTTTCTCCCAGTACAAAATTGAGCCATAACTTTAACAGAGCATTAACATTTGTTATACTGTTGTCTGTAACATCTGCTATGCACTGGCGGCACACGACTGTTATATAGCTTACGTTGTTAAACAGCACTGGCGCTAAGCTATTTTTTGTTGCCATCTGGCAGCACTAGCGACGGCGCCCATTTCAAATTTTGGGCGCAGTCGAGCAATATTGGCGTAGAGATTTTTTTTGTGCTTTACGTAGAAACTCAAACACTTTAATCAATTAGAAATTCTACTTTCATCTTGATTCAATGCCTTGCCTTTTGGCTAGGCCTTTATAATTTGTATAAACATTCATTTGAGGCATATTTGCCAAACGGCAACCTACTTTAGCCCCAAAACGCAGTCGCAGCCGCACTTGCAGTCTCTAATGAAGCGGCTGCGGTAACTGCTGCAATTTTAATGACAACCTTTTATCAGGCATGTGGTTGTTGTCATCTTTCATTAAAAGGCGTCGCCACGTCTGGGGGGCAACACACGCAAACACACACACACACGCACATGCATCTGAACACACTCGGCTTTTCTTTATCAGCAGATGTAAGTTGGTTGCCTGCGCGTCGTATTTGTTTATGTTCTGTTTCACTTTTGCTAAGCAAACGCGTTTACTTTTAAGCTTTTGCTTTTTGCCTTTGCAAACTTGCAAACGTTTTCCCTGGCCCCATTTCTTGCCCTCTGCCCTTACTGAAGCGTTAATATAAGGAGTGGAACATGCGGAAAGTGCAATGAATTAAAAAATTGTCATCTTTTATGGGTCAGTTTGCACATGCTTCAGGGTTGCAAACCGCTTCGAATCAATGCCTTGTCTTAAGATTCGATTCGTTAACCTGATTTTCCATATCTAGGTTTAGATTTGAGTCTTGATTCTTTAAATTTCTTTTAATTTGCAATAGAATATTGATTTAATTTGTTATAAATTAAATTTTATTTAACTGTTAAGATTTCTTTCTTCCTTTATTCAAATAATTTCATTTAAGATTGGGTCGAGGGTAAATAACATATTGAGGTTTCGGGCTCAAGCCGGTTCGATTCAAACCCGGCTTAGCTTCTTGAGACTCATAATTCGCTTACCAACACTTAAAGTGCTGTCGCACAAATGCTTTTCCGTTAATTTGCTGCGTCCCTCTGCCATTTGGATGATAATTTATTGTGAAGCCTTGTCATGTTGCTGCCGAAAATAAAATCACTTTCGCCTCAGCTGCGCCTGTAAAACTTGATAAATGCCATTAAAAATTATGTATATATATTGTGGCACAACCCCTCCCCGGGTTGGCTGCCACATCAAATTTTGAAATTGCAGCTGCCAGGCGCAAATTCAATTGCGCGACTCTCTTGCCAAACAGTCAACGGGAATGTCAGCGTGCTGCACTTTGCCAACTTGTCGCAAATCAAATTTCAATATGGCAAAAATTACGTTTGCTAACGCAAATTGAAACATTTTCGTTGCGGTTAACGGAGCATGAGGGGGGTTGGGGGTGGTTTTAGGACAGGTGTAAAGTAAAAATCAGCTCCTACTCCCGATTCGGTTCCATGTTGATTATGTTATTTACCTCATGAAAATTGCATTTGATGTTTGGCATAAACGGAAATTGCCGCCATGCGGATGTTGCTTCCACTTATTTGTTGTGATCCCACTTTCCCAAACTCCAACTGTTACTCAAATTCCAAACACCAGGCCCCGGCTACAATTGTCCAGTCGACACCCTCAGCCCGGGCAAAGCCAATGTAAATGCGACGCTCAAGTCGCAAATATTTCCCAAAATTTATGCGTTGCGGCGTCTCTGATATATGAGGAGGCAAGGGGCAAAAAGGGGGCGCCGGGTGTGTGGCAGCCAAAGGCAACGGCAACGGTGGTAGCCTTTCCCATCCATCAACGGCATCACTCAGTTTTGACATATCATTGAAATCTTAGCCCAACGTCGTCATCAACTGTGACGTTTCATTAACCTCTGGAAGGGCGCTGGAGAGGATGGGCTGTGGGGGCGGGGGAAGTGTTAATATCAACAAGCGACGAGTGTGCGACGCAATCTACTGATTTCCGCTTAACCAAGCCAAACATTGCATTTTTGATTAGAGCTGAAGTCGGCCCTAAGCCGTTGCCCGAAAATGTTGCCGCAGGCAAACCAGAAACACGCCAGGAATCTGTTGGAAGGGGCGTGGCAATGCCACTGCTGCTGTGCTGCTGCTGGGGAAGTTGATGGAAGGGTGGGCGGGCCGGAACAGGCAACTGTTTGATATGCAGAAGGAGGGGGGGGGGGGGATGGTTATGGCATTTGGGGTGGGACAACTGTTGAGATCGATAGCAAGAAAATAATGAGGGAAATGCTTGTTATTCTCCTATTATTGTTTTCTTTTCTACTTTTATATGTATCAGATATAGCTAGAAATATCTAACAAAACCAATTTTATCTGACGAGATAAGGCAACTCTATAAATTAGTGTTGCATAATGTCATTTTTTTAACTGTTCTCAACAAGGGATATTATAATATTGTCTTGAAATGTGTCCACTTCTTTATAGTATATAAAGTAGGGTTTAGTCTGGATATATAAGGGTACATAAAAGTACAGGAAGGGTTACCTAGAGGTACAAGGAATAAAAGCCTGTTGTGCAACATAGAGTTACCTTATTTTCTTGGACAAATTTATTTTTTTTAAGGGCCAGGTCAATATAACCATATCCGTCCGTTAGTCTGTCTGGAGTTGGCCGGATCGAATCACTATATCATATGGCTGTCATGTATACGATTGGTCTATTATTAAGTTCTAGTATTTAAAACTTGTTGTTTTCAAGATATCTTGTCACAGTCTTTTGATTTGGGAGCTTTAATATGCTCCTGGCATCTAGGCAAAATCTGAATACATATATATATGGAAAACTTTTCTTGAGATATCTTCACCAAACTAATCAATTATAAGCAATCCAACAAAAAGTCGGACTACTATATCATATGTCAATGATAAAGTCAGACGACTATATCATATGTTTAGCATAAGAAAATCTAAGCAAAATCTGAAGAACATCGGACTTCTGTATCATATATATATATATATATATATATATATATATATACAGCGCTATACAAAGAATCTATGAAGATTCGTTTTGGTATGCAAAACTTTTCTGATTCCTGAGATATCTTGAGCAACCTCTGTCATTACGAGCATTCACTTTGCTCCAACAAAGATTCGGACTGCTTTATCATACTTTCAACATAAAGTCGGCCAACTATATCATATGTTTCCCATAGCAACAATTGGTTGTATTTAAAGCTTTTCTAAAAGTTTACTTTGAAGCCGTATGCAAGGGTATTTACGCTTCGGCGTGCCAAAGATAGTCGCTCTCTCCCAAATAAATTTTGTGTTTTTCTTTTAAAATTATATATTATATTTTGTTTCAGGGTTCAAATCCTCATTCTATGCTAATCTTCCATCTTCTGCAACATATTATATTCACATTATGCTTCATACATGTGTGTGCGTGTGCGTGTGTGTATCTTGATGCTCCGTTTTGGGGTTGATTTGTGTCATCTTGCATCTTCATATTCTGTTCCAAACTGTCTTCGAACTTTTGTGAAATTATGCAAAAATCAAAAAAAGAGGAAGAAAAGTGAACGATATTTGTTGTTGTATCCTTGGGGATATTTTTCTGTTCACTGAATTTTGTTGTTAATGCCAAACCGATTTCCCATCTCGGGCAAGGGTTGTCAACGGTCTCTGTTTTTGATAACCCAGCACCGTACCACACCTCCCAAGCCCCGCCCCCTAGCATAGACACACGTGTCACAGGCATCGATTTAAATAAATTTGACGTGCAGCAAAGTTGACAAACATCTGTTTTTTTTTTTGTTCTTCCGTTGAGGAACTAACCCGCCAGCTAATGATGAAATTTCAATAAATGTCATTTGGTCTGTGCCAAGTGTC